AAAATTAATCCAACAGTTGCTAGATGATGCAAAGAAGAATAATATGAGATTGATTGGAGTGAATGAAAAAGCAGGAGACAGAGAAAACAATGTAAAAACCTGTTCATGGCAGTAATGGCAGAAAATTTCTCAATTGGAGAAAAAGAATTTAATACATAAAAAAGTGAGGCAAATTGAACTCCAATTAGCTATGATCAAAAAAAAAAAAAAAAAAAAAAAAAAAAAAAAAAACAAAACCAAGCACCAGCAAAAAAAAAAAAAAAAAAGAAAAGAAAAGAAAGAAACTACACCAAGGCACCAAGGCATATAATAGTCAAGATTCCAGATATCTGACACAAGAACAGTATATTAAAAGCCATTAGAGAAAAAAACATCACTAATAAAGGAAAGTCCACCAGGATCAGACTCTTCAACCCAACCTGCAAGTCAAGAAGAGCTTGGAGTCAAGTATTTTAAGTCATAAACAAAAACAACCTCCAATCCAGATTGATGTACCCTGAAAAACTCTTTCAAAATTGATAGCGAAATAAGATATTTCCATAATACAGAACACCTGATGAAATTCATGACCACCAAACGAACACTCCAAAATGTTCTGAAAGGACATTCTAGAAAGAGACAATGAGGCCTATAACTACATGAACTCTAACAGAATAAATCTACCAGGCAAGGTAAGCAATTAAACAGAGAGGGTAAAAAAGGAATCCAACAACAGAAAAATAAAATAGCAAGTATAAGTCAACACATATCACTTATAACTATATATATAAACCAATATAAACCATTGCCATTCACCAAACAAAGGAAATTGACTGAGGGTTGGGGATTTAGATCAGTGGTTCCAATGCCTGCCTCACAAGCACAAGGACCTGAGTTCAATCCCCAGTACCAAAAAAAAAAAAAAAGAAAAAAGAAATTGACTGGCAAAATGGATCAAGAAGCAAGATCCTAACAATATGCTGCATATAAGAAACACATTTAATTCAAAAAAATTCACAGACTGAAAGTCAAAGGACAGAAAACAATACCCCATGCCACAAGAACCTGGAAAAATGCAGCGGCATCTATTCTATTTGCACACAAAGTGGATTTCAAGGCAAGACTAATTAAGAGACAAGGTCACAACATCCTTAAAAAGGAACGATCCCAGAAGAAGAGATAACAATCATATGCATCAAATATGAGTGCACCCAACTATATAAAACAAACATTAATGAACGTGAAAAATCAAATAAGCACTAATACAGCTGTAATGGGGGCCCTTGATACCCCAATGTCACAAATAAACAGATCAATTAGACAAAAAAATTAATGAAAAACTATCAGAACTAAACCAACCTTTTGAAGAAATGGAATTAGTAGATGTCTACAAAGTGTTCCACTCCACAACATCTGAATACATATTCTTCTCTGCTGCACGTGGCACATTCTCAAAAAGAAACAACATACGAGAAACATACATGCTTAAGTAAATGCAAAGGAACTGAAATTATCCCATGCATATTGCTGGACCACAGTGGAATGAAACTGGAAATCAATGGCAAAAAAACAAAAAAAACTTCATAGAACTTCATAGAAAACACAAGGAAATTAATAACATCCTCCTGAACAAGCAATGGGTCACATATGAAATTAAAGAAGAAAATAGAAAGTTCCTACAATTAAACAATAGTGCCAATACAAAATAATACAAGTTTTAGAACACAATGAAAGCAGTCCTACAAGGGAAATTTAAAGCGGTGATTTCTCATATCAGAAAAACAGAGCAGGTTCAAATAACCTAATACTGAACCTTACGTTACTAGCAAAAGAAGAGCACATCAAGCCCAAAGCTCATATGAGGAAGATCACAGCAGAAATTAATGCAATGGAGACTAAGAAAACAATATAAAGAATCAATTTAAAAAAGAGTTGGCTCTTTGAAAGATTAAATAAAATTGACAATCACTTAACCAAACTTACCAAAAAAAAAAAGAAAGAAAAAATTCAAATCTATTCAATTAGGAATGAAAAGGATGAAATCACAACAGACCTTGCAGAAATTGATAAGATCATCAGTACCCACTCAAGAATCTATATTCTTAATAAAATGAAAAACACAGAAGAAATGCACAGATTATTAGATACATATGAACGAGTAAAGCTGAATCAGGAAGATATAAAAAGTCTAAATAAATGAATATCAGTCAATGAAATTGAAGATGTAATTAAAAACCTATCACCGGGCGTGGTGGCGCATGCCTGCAATCCCAGCACTCTGGAGGCTGAGGCAGGAGGATAGCTGTGAGTTCAAGACCAGCCTGGACTACATAGTGAGATGCAGGTCAGTTTCAACTACACAGTGAGACCCTGTCTCAAAAAAACAAACAAACAAACAAAAACCTGTCAACAACAAAAGCCCAGGCCCTGAAAGATTCACTGCTGAATTCTACAAAAAATTTAGAGCAGACCTAATGCCTCTATTTCTCAAACTTTTTAATTAAATTGGAAGGGAAGCATACTCCCAAATTCATCCTGAAAGTAAAGCATTACCCTGATACCAAAACCAGAGAAGGATCCAACCAAAAAAGGAAACTACAGGCTAATCTCCCTAATGAATAAAAACACAAAAATCCTAAGTAAGATACTGGCAAACAAAATGAAGCAAATCATCAAGAAGGTTATATACCATGACCAAGTAGGATTCACCTAGGGATGCAGGGATGGTCAATAAATGTAAGATACCATATTATCAGAACCAAGGGCAAAAACCATATGATCACCTCAATAGATGCAGAAAAAGTGTTTGACAAAGTCTAACACCCATTCATGACAAAAATCCTACAGAAAATTAGAACAGATGGTCTTTATCTCAATCTAATAAAAGCCATCTATAACAATTTAACAGCCAACATTATACTAAATGAACAAAAACTGAAACCTTTCCCTCTAAAATCAGGAACTAGACAAGGATGTTCATGTCACCACTAGTTCTGGAAATGCTAGCCAGAGCAACTAGACAAAAGAAAGAAACATTTATTTGTGGATATGATACTCTACATAGAGGAGTTCAAAAATTCCACCAAAACACTTCTAGATTTAATAACCAAATTCAATGGCATAGCTGGATACAAAGTCAACATTCAAAAATCAAGAGCATTTCTGTATACACATAACAAACTCACTGAGAGAGAAATTAAAGAAAAACACTTTTCACAATAGCATCCAAAAAATTAAATACTTAGGAATCAATCTGACAAAGGAAGTAAAAGACCTTTATAGAGAAAACAACAGTACTCTGAAAAAGAGATCAAAGAGGATATCAGAAAATAAAAAGATATCCCTAGCTCTTGGGAAGGAAGAAACAATATAGTGAAATGGCCACACTTACAAAATTGTTACACAGATTTAATGCATTACCAATCAAAATACTAGTAACATAGCTCACAGAATTAGAAAAAAAAATCCTAAAATTCATTTGGAACCAGAAGAAACCTAGAATATCAAAAGCAATTCTGGGCAAGGCAGGGGGCATCACAAAACCCAACTTGAAATTGTTCTATAAACCTACTATGTTAAAAACAGCATGATTGTGAAGAAAAAAACAAAAAACAAAACAGACCTGAGGATCGGTGGAACAGATTGGAAGATGCAGAAACAATTTCAAACATACGGAGCCAAACACCTTCACTGGAAGAAAGATAGCCTCTTTAATAAACAGTGCTGGAAAAACTGGCTTTGCACACACCTAAAATCAAAACTAGACCCATTATCTTTGACCATGCACTAAATTAAAATAAATATAGATCAAAGTCTAAATATTAAAACAGAAATACTAAATATGCTGTGAGATAGAATAGATGAAACTCTTGAAGACACTGATGTAGGCTAAGACTTTTTGAACAAAACCCTGATCATACAGGAAATAATCAAAGAATCAACAATTGGAATTTCATCCTATTAAAAAGCTTTTGCACAGCAAATGAAACCATCATCAGAATGAAGAGACAGCCCATGCATAAGAAAAAAATTTTGCTAGCTGTTCCTCAGACAAAGGACTAATATCTGGAATATATTAAGAACTTAAAAAAATTTAAAGACCCAGTCCAAAAATGGGCACCTGAAATGAACAGACATTTCCCAGATAAAGAAGTAGAAATTGCCAATAAATATACGAAGAAATATTCAACATCACTGGTTATTCCAGAGATGCAAATGAAAACAAGGCTGAGATTCCACCTCACTCCAGAAATAATGGTAATTGTCAAGAAATCAGCCAGCAACAAATGCTGGTGAGGCTGTGGGGAAAAAGAAACTCTTTTCCACTACAGACTGGTGCAATCACTGCAGATGTCAGTGTGGAGATTTCCTCAGAAAACTTCAACTAAAGTTGCCATTCAACTGAGCCATTCCCCTTCTTGGTATCTTCCAGAAAGAATTAAAAGCATCATACCACAGCAGTATATACACACCCATGTTTATAGTGGCACAGTTTGTAATAGCTAAATCTTGGAAACAGACCAAAAGCCCATCAACCAATAAATGGATAAAGATGCAGGGTTTTTTTTTTAATACAGTGGAGTACTACTCTGTCATGAAGGATAAGCTCGAGACATTCCTAGCTAAACGGATGTACTCAAAGACCATACTCTTAAGTGATATATGTTGGACACACATGTTTAAATACTGCCTTGTTTCTCTGGTGTGAGAAATTACAAGTGTAAATAAGAACCAAAATATACAACAGATATTGGGAAATGGGAAGAAAATGTTCAAATGAGAAGCGGAGCAAGGGAGGAGAGGGGGGAAAGAAATGAAGGGACAAGAGGAGAGAATAGAAGGAAATATGGAAACAAACATTTTGTAAATAAAGAGGGGGAGACAGGCTGAAGGGAAGAGAGGATGGGAAAATAAAGAATAAGCAAGATATATCCTGTACACATATAAATTCCCTGAGGAATGCTATCATTATGTATATCTAAATTGCACCAATAAATATATTGCTTCAAAAAAGACAAAAGTCAAATTCCACTAAGACCACCACACTCTGAGAAGGCCTAAATTAGACAAGTAGAAAGAATAACAAGAACAAGGAGAGCTTTCAAATACAATAGAAGGGCAGTTATAGGTAGAGAAGAGGCAAATAGGGAGAGGTGCCATGGGATATGCTCTCACTGTAACCAACTGAGTGAGGCCAATTTGGACCTTATATCTGTCATAGTTCATAAATTCTACCTCCCACCTCACGCTATAGGAAACCAAAGAACATTCCACTCAACCCATATAATTATAAGAAATAAATTGTTATTGTTTTCAGATTCTTACTTTCAGAATGAATCAGTACATAACTCACGTTGCCAATAAATATGTGCTCAATTGAATTCATTAAAATGTTCTTTTAAAGCTTACCTTGGTGTTGGCCATGTCTACAATATACTGGTCTCCCTTTATACATTCCATTACTTCAAAACCATCTCGGTCAATCACCTTGGCCTGTGAGCTTCCAGATACAACAAGAATCATATCTCCCGTGTTACTGTACTGTAATGACTTGATCTGATGGCTATGCAAAGAAAAGAAAATAATCTAGTGAGACACTCAGTATACTGTTTACAGTAAGACCTCCACTTACAAAGGAGTTCCATTCCAGGACAGTGTTCATAAATCAGATCTGTTTGTAGGTCTAATAAAGTCAGTCTTTACATCTTTGACAAATACATACAATGTAAAGCATAAAAAATACACAAATTTTATAAATAAATTATTATTACTTTTACAGTTACCTTAAAATGGTACCACAACTCACATATACGGGATTGCCTGGAGTGACCGGACAAGAGGAGGATTATTAACTGGAGGAGGGAGAGGAGGGTGGGTGGAAGATGGTGGAGCTGAAGGATCTTCAGCAATAGGAGATGGAGGGCAAGACAGAATTTCACTCACATCTGATGTTGATGACACAAGTTTTTTAATGGATTTAATTCTGTCTACCCTCCTGAAAAACCAACCTGGTGATGTCTGAGTGGTAGCTCTTTTTTCTCATTATAGATGACTCTGTAGCCCAGGGTAGCACTCTGAAGGGCTGCTGCAACCTTTGTGTATCATTCTACATTGAGGACCTATACCTCAAAAACTAACTACCTCTTTAAGTAAAGAAAATCCCCTTGTCATTTCCTGTGTTATGAATCTCTTTGGTTCTTCAATTACATCTTCCTCTTGGCTCTCATCTTTCTACTGGGCCTCTAATTCCAACAGGTTATTAAGAAGCTTCTTGTATTGCACAGCACATGAGTTCAATGCAGTCATCCTCTTGTAGATCTAGCTCCAGCTTCTTGCTACAGGTCATTAACTTGTTGAAGATGCTTTTGGACTTCTTATCCATCTTCCAAAGTCCATGAATTTCATGAACAAACTGTGGACAAAGGTTCTTCCAAACCTGCAATAAATGTGTACCTGGAATTTTCCCGACATGGATAGAGCAGAACAAAAAGTACAGGAGTTGACAATAAAGTCAAAAATCCCCCAAATAAGGTGATATAAATCACAGAGGGGTGCTGAAGCCACTGAAGGGACTCTGGTTTTTACTTCCTCTGAATGAAATGAGAGGAAACCCACTGGAGAGTGCTGAACTGAGGAATTACAAAATCTGGCCTACTCTGTACAGAACTACTTGCTTGTGCCTGGACCATTTTGCACTCTCAAGAAATCTATGGATTCCTTCTAAATGTATTTTTAAATGCATAAAAAATATTAGGCATAGAGTAGAAAATAGTTATATGGAAATAATTATAATTTTTTTCAGTTTGTGACACAACATGTAACAATATGCACTACTGCATTAAGTAAGTAGGCCTGGAAGCAGTCTAATAACAGGTGTCATTTCCAACAGTGAAGATTATGAATACTATTTCAATTTATTTTCAACAATGGTCATGTGATATAATGTCATCTGAAATTAACAGGTAGAGCTGTGATTTTGTTGCTACTTTTGTAATTAAATGAGGTACTACATTTCAGTTATAAATTACTAAACAGAAAAATGTTTTACCTAATTTCACAGAAACTGGGAGATCCAGATGTTGAAATTACAAGCCATGGAATTTTAAATAGCTATGAGTTAAAAGTTAAATAATAAGGTTTAGATAACTTATACCCAGAACTGGAAATCATTAAAAATGCAAAAATTTTGGAGTCGAAAATAAATGAAATTTAGAACTGATTATTATGAGTTTCCCAGTAGAGAATTAGAAGTTTGGAAAAAATTTCTAGATTGAAACATGGTAAGAAAAATATTGGAAAATATATAAAAACACACACATACTCAAAGATACAAGTGAAATATGGCAAAAATTGTCCTCACATTGGAATTAAAAGGTGAAGAAGAGAGAAGAGGTAACTATCAAAATTTTTAGAATGATGACAACAGATATTACAGTACTCAGAGATCCAAGAAGTACTACAAACCCAAAGAGGAGACCTGAAAATTATCCCTAGATGCACTGCAGTAAAAACTGCTAAAAGTCAGAACAAAATATACCTAAAAGCAAAAAAGAAAAGACCGGTGACTTTTAGACAGAAGCAGCAAGAGCCAGACAACAAGACAGTAACTCCAAGACTCTGAGTAAAAATACCGCCCAGCTAAAATTACAGAAACACATAAACTAAAGGCTAAGAAAAGATGTTTTCAAGAAACATTAAAAGTAGCCAGATATGGGGACACTGGTCTGTAATCCCAGCCCTAGGGAGAATGAGGCAGAAGGATCATTGAGAGGTCAAGGCCAGCCTGAATTGCATAGCAAGACTCTGTCTCCAAAAAAAAAAAAGAACTTAGAGAATTTGTTAGCAGCCACTTTACTTTAAAGGAAATATTATAGGGAATTCTTCAGGTATTAATAAAAGCACAGCCAGGCATGGTGGCACATGCTTATAATCTCAGCACTTGGGAGGCTGAGGCAGAAGGACTGCTGTGCGTTGAGGCCAGCCTGAGCTACATAGTAGGTTAAGGCCTGCTTGAATCACATAGCAAGACCCTATCTCAAAAGAGAAAAGGGGAGGAGGGGGAGGGAGGGAGAGGGAGGGGGGGCACAGTGTAAAAGTAGGATATGGAGAACATCAGAAAGGGAGAATATATAATGCACAAGGACTGTCTTATTAGTGTCAATAATAACGTCTGATGGGGTTAAATGCATATACAAATGCATGCACCAAAACAAAAAGAAAAATATGAAAACAATTGCAAACAGTTAAATGTAATAAATGTTCCAAGAGCCTTGCACTGACTGGGAAGTAATAATGGCTAATTTTTTTTTTTTTTTTTTTTTTGGTACCGGTGCTCGACCTCTGGCCCTTGCATTTGCAAGGCAGGCACCAGAACTATTGAGCTAAATCCCCAGCCAACAATGGCTAATTTATATTGCCCTTTTCCTGAGTCTACTTTAAGAACATAGGTTGCAATTTTTAGGTTAACAACTAAAAATGCTAAAGGACAATAAACTAAAAAACTAATTCAAGACAAACATACTATTAAAAAATTAACGCAAAAATGCAAAGACAAGAAAGTATTGTAAAGGATCGGGGATTTAGCTCAGTGGTGCTGCTGCCTGCCTTGCAAGTATAAGGTCCCAAGTCCAATCCCTGGTAACAAAAACATAAGAAAGTAAAAACAAGTATTTTACAAATACTAAAGCTGATGCAACTTGTATATTAGACAGAAGAGACTTTAAAGCAAGGAGCACTGCTGGTGAAACAAATGACAAAAGGAATCCACTAGGAAGATAACAATTACCTTTAATAATTATAAGTATATTTTCCCCATTCTCCTGCCCTCCCTTCAATTCCTCCATGCCTCCCTATTTACAAAAACTTTGTTTCCATTTTTTCCTTTTCTCATATTTATTCCTTTTCCTTCTTTCCTTTCTTCTCATTTCCCCTTCCCCTTTGGACCTTTTCTTCCTATTTCAAATTACCTATTATACATTTTGTCCTTACACAATAAGAACCAAGATATGTCATGAAAAGGTACAAATTCCCAATGATGAACACCATCATACTGTATACCTAAAATGTACCAATTAACTTAATAAAAATAAATAAAACACAAAAACCAAAAAAAATTAAAAATTAATAATTGTAAACATACTGACAAACAATTGTAAGTATACTTGACCCAAGCATGTCTTTCTTCTACGACCCAATCATCAGTCTCTCAATCCCATCAAATGGACAATATTAACTGCCCCCCCACCAATAAAACGGTTAAATTAAAGAGACTGACAATAGCAAATGTTATGCAGAACATAGAGCAATTAGAAACTAAAATATCTTCCTAAAATACTATTAGAAATAAGAAAGGGGACCACAGAGAAGGAAAGGTAGAATACATGCCATGACCTAGCAATTATACTCCCAATTATGTACCAAGAAAAACACAATTGAGTGTTCCAAAAGACAACTACAAGAGTATTTACAGAAGTATTCATAAGAACCAAAACTGGAAACAATTCAAATGTACAAAGGCACAAAATAGGTAATTGCATATTCATACAGTACAGCAGTATATTGCCATTAAAATAAGAAAATTTCTATTACACACTCATGGATAAAACTTACAAATATGATCAAGTAAAAGAAGTCAGACAAAAATATGTTACATTTCTTCACCCTAAAATACAGGCAAAAGTAATCTACAGAGCCAGGATGAAGAGGACAAGAGTAATAGCTAGGGAATAAGATTCAGGTGTTGGTAATACCATAAAATAGCTCTTTGATCTGGGTAGTGAATAAGGGGTATGTTCATTTCATGAATAGTTCTCAAGGTATAACCTTAAGATCAATGAATTTTCTAAATATCATGCTTTAACTTAAATACTATAAAAATGACAGATATACAAGGTAATTTTATATTAAGGCCCCTAAAAGTTCACCAAGAAGGACAAATAAGGACACCATCATATTTTACAGTATAATTTAATCTCTAAATGCTAAAATGGTCTCAGAATAAACTAAAAACGCAATATTACAAATAATACTTCTTACAGGTTTATTTGTTTTGGTATATAAATGAGCATAACTTAGTTTTTATGAATTATGCAAAAAAATTCTATTTACGCCGGGCATGGTGGTGCACACCTGTAATCCTTGCACTCAGGAGGCTGAGGCAGGAGGATCGTTGTGAGTTCAAGACCAGCCTAGGCTACATAGTGAGTTCCAGGTCAGTCTCAACTACATAGTGAGACCCTGTCTCAAAAATAACAAACAAACAAAAAATTCTATTTATCCATTACTAAATTCACTGTACATTTTATACTACTACATGGTGAACTTTTATTCATTAAAAAATAATTTAATCAAAGCAGAAGAATGTTCATTACAAGAACAGGAAACATAAACATTACCAAATATTGGGAAGCACAAAAAGGTTCAGAAATAGAAAGCTATTAGGGTTGACGTTGTGGTTTTGCCAAATAACAAATAGCAGAAAAAAAGTCGTTTACCTTAGGAAGTATTTATTTACTTAAGTCTTTGTTTAAAGGTCAAATAAGGTCATAGGGTACACTTGGAAAA